CCTCTGCATTGTCTGTCTGTCCCTTCCCCCTTGCCTACAGCACCTCTGTAACCGTCTAACTTCTCTTTTTCTTTTATTTCTATGGGATGTTATAATAGAGTCCCCAGAGTGCAACCTGGACTGTAGGACCACTGACCACTACAAACCCATCAATTTGGGATGCTTTTCATACTGTCAGTCTGATGTCAAGCTACAAGCTTTTATCAGATTGTTAGCCTTTGTACCGTATTTACACACAAAACATGCAGATGGTATCGTGAGCTTTCATTGGCACAACCCACTTGTTCAGATGACATCTGCATCATCTGAAGAAGTGGGTTGTGCCCACGAAAGCTCATGATACCATCTACATATTTTGTTAGTCTTTAAGGTGCTGCTAGATTATTGGTTGTTTTTTTAAAAGATTTCCCAGTTACAGACTAACTCAGCTACCCCTCTGAAGCTTTTTGTATTTACACAGACATCCACAAATGCAACAGTGTTACAGGAATGATCTCCTAGCCATTCATCAGCCATCAAGATTTCCTTGAACAGTGAAGACTCATTAATGAGTTCACATTTGCAACTACTTGTTTCTTCCTAAGTGGAGTGCTTTATATTTGTCTTATTGAATTTCTTCTTAAATCCTTCAGACCATTTTTCCAGTTTGTGCAGATGATTTTCAATTTTTATCTTATCCTTCAAAGCACTTTCAACACTTTCCAGCTTCCCATCATTCACAAACTTTGTAAATGTCTTCTATGTGATTCAGGAAGTTATCAAACAGAACTAGACCAAGAACTGATCCCAGCAGGACCCTGGTTGATATGCCCTTGCAGCCTGTCTGTGAACCACTGATAACAACTCTCTGGGAATGGTTTTCCAACCAGTTATTCAATTCAGCAGTCTATTCCTATTCTCAAAACTACTAATGCATATGCTCAGTTTTAGGCATGTGCTTTAATTTTACAGTTCTATTGACTTCAGTAGGAATATAAGTCTCAGGTCGTGAGATTATACAGGCTCACAGTATAAATTGGGATGGTATATAAAGTGAGGGGTATAACTAATGTACGTATCTTGTTTTAATGAGGTTAAAACTCTACTAGGTGTGTCTGTTTTAATACAAGAGCTTTCCCCTGGCCAGACTGTTACTAGCTGGGTCCTCGGGGCTCAGGCTCCCGGCAGGGCCCCGATCCCCCGAATGCAGCCTCCGGGGAGTTAGGACGCGGGATGCCAGCAGCTGCCAGTCCCTTCCCTCTGGCGCCTCCCCCCCAGCCCCTCAGAAGGGTCCCGGGGCTTCCAGCGTCATGCAAAGTGCCTGTGAGGAGGCCCGGGCCTGATGGAATATTGTGCAGCCAGGGTGGAGCTGGACAGGCCTGGGAAGCTGCCTGCCCATGACCCGCCCCCAGGGCTCAAGGATGCAGCTGTCACCCGGTGCCGTTGTCTCCCTGCTGCCCTGCGCGACGTGACACGTGTCTGGCCGGGTTGTGCGGCTGCCAATGCAGCAGGCGACGCCGGGCGCCCAGGCAGGGACGGAAGGTCTGGCAGCTAGTTTGAGCCCCTCTGTGGCGGCAGCCTCTCCCCCTGGAGCAGCGGGCTGGGTTATCCCCTCGGCAGTTCAGTAGAGGTTTAGCTGAGTTCCAAGTGCGGGTTCTGGGCACCTCCGTTGTTCTTTGTGTCTTACCAGAGCAAGGGGCTGCACAGAGATGTAGGGAGAGACTGTCCTTGTCCTCAAGGAGACAGTACTGCCTAATGGTGGGCACGGGAGGCAAATGACTGGGCCGAGGCCCCAGAGTAGATCAGTGTCAGAGCATGGGCTGGAGCCTGTCTTCTGACTCCCAGGTCAGTGCCATTGGACTGGGCTGTGGGTTTTTTTTGAAGGAGGGGGCTGCCTGGTGAGTTGTCCCTGGTCACGGGTTTGCAGAAGCTCACGCCGGTGTTTCTGTAGCGTTTCCCTAGCGGAGAAGGCTCCAGCGCCCGTCTGTGAATCTCCAGCAGGTCCTGTCCACTGGACCCCTGACAGCCCCCTGCCCCCATGGAGAGGGACCCTGTCCGGGAAGGCACCGAAGGCCGGAGCTACTCCGAGGACAGGCTCCGCTCAGATCTGCGGCCTTCACCAGTCCCATTCCACCAACCTGGGTCATTCATCTTCCTCTGTGACTCTCCGGTGCTGTTAGATCTCCCTTCCCCCTCCTGGCCAATTAGCGTTTGTCCTGAGGCATTAATGCAGACGGAGCCACTGGCATAAAGAGCGCTTCGTACCCACCTTACGAGGAAGGATCAAATCCATCAAAGTCAATTCAGTTCCAGGTCAGAATCTGCCCCCTGGGTGTGTCTCTCCTGGCTCCCCCCAATTTCATCTGTCGGGTTCACCCGTAGCTGTGTTCTAACGGTATCAGCGGCGGTGCAGTCGAATGGTATTGGAGCGTAACTTGCACTGACATCTGTGTGTTTCATCTTGCCATTGTAATGTCGTCTGGATTGACCTTGTCGTAATGAGATCACTGTGGCAGTGCTCAGGCTGTGGTTAAGAGAATTAGGAATGAACCGGGCCACGGAGAACACGCTTGTTCCCCACCAGCTGTGTCTTGCAGCCCGACACAGGGACCATTTCAGAGCGTTTCTTTTCAGTCGCGTGTGAGCAAGAGGTGAGAACAGACAGGGCTGGGCGCTTGGATGGCGCTGTTCTTCAGTGAGCTGCAAGCAAGCACTGTCCGTCGTGTGGCCTAGCTGCCCTGCCAAACAGCCCCTCCTCCTCCCGTTTTATGGAAGGCTGGACACGGAAGGCTCTGCTTCTGCAGTGGGCTCTGTGGCAGCAAATCCATGTGTCTGTTACAGAAACTCCTGCTGCCCGTGCAGGTCTGCCGGGAATATTGGCCTGTCCTTTCCGAGCTCACTGTGGTATAGACCGGGCACTGAGCCAGGGTAGAATTGGGGGGAACATTTGTATGGTGTGTATTGGCTGTGTTCCAATCCTGTGAGGTCTTATGGTAAAAAGAACTAGGAGGGAAAAGCTTTGGGTTTGGATCCCACTTCTGCCACCAACATGTGCGATGATGCGCTTGTCACTCTTCTCTTTGTGCCTCTCCCCCCGCCTACCCTTTGTCTGTTTAGCCTATAAACCCTTTGCAGAGAGGGACTCGTTTGCTAGGTATTTATACAGAATCTAGCAGGTTTGTTTCCGTGCTCAGCAGGCGTATTTAGGTGCGTCTGGAATAATTTTTAAGAAAACATACACAGATCTGCTATCTACGCACCACACAGAGGGCAAAATCAGGGGAGAGGTTGTTTTTTTCCCCCTTGGGCAGCCTAACAAGGTGCATACCAATTTGGTTCTGTTTTATTTCCACGCTCTATGTAAATGCTTATGCCAAATTACATTTCTCATTTCTCTTCCCAAAATCTGATCAGGATAATGGAATGTTTCCCGGCATGTTTTCCTTGCAAAATCCATGTTCTCATCTCAGGATAAAATCATTACCATCTGCATATGTGACATGCCTTCATAATCGCACCCATTTGCAGAATGTAGCTCGTCATAGGCAGAGCTCTCTAATTATTCATGCACAGTGCAAGTGGGAGGGGGGAGGGGGAGGAGAGAGGCTCTAGGAGCAAAAGTTCCTATTTACTCCAATATTGAATTATTAGCAGGCAGCATGGGTGGCTGTTTCATATCACTAGTGGCAAATCTGATCAATGACGTGCCTCGTCAATGACATGCCTCGTCAATGACATGCCGAAACATACAAGGCAGAGTTGACCCACCCAGTGGTGAGTTGTTTCAACCTTCTCCACTTATTTCCTGTTCCAGTTAGTGCGTTTATCCCCGGTTGATTGAAGATAAATGATAAAGCAAAGAAGGGGCAGGTAACTAAGAGTCAGGACTCAAGGGTTCTACTCCGTTTGGCAATGGTCTTGGACAACTGATTTCTCTAAGCGCTAGTGTAAAATTGAGATGTCGGAGGGTCAGGAGACGTAATAAACCAAAACGGTTTGTTAAATACGTGGAGATCTGTGGCTATTGGGTATTATCCTGGCAACCAAGTATTGTAACCCAAAGATTTTTACATCTGGCTGATAGGAGCAAACGTCCTTGGCCAGACACATCTGTCCAGTACAGTATCCTGTTTGTGATGGGGCCAGTGCCAGTGCCAGATACAGTATCCTGTTTGTGATGGGGCCAGTGCCAGATGCGAGAGGAAGGTGCAGGAAAAGAGACAGTCTGGGATACCCTGTCTCCATGTCAGGGTGCATCCTGATTTCTAGTTGCTCGAGTGTGGTTTAAGTCCTGAAGCATGCATGCAACCTGGGGACGTTCAAGTCGAGCAATATGTTGTGGATGAGTCAGTAAGCTGCGGCAGCAAACGTGTGTGTGTCTGTGTATTTGCTTTGGGATTGTCTGGCTTGGAGACACTCGGAGTTCACTCTGAGGATCAAAAATTGCCCAGGGAGTGACCTGGAGCCCTGTAATCTGACTCAAAGGCTCCATTTCCCTGCAACTGCAGAGTGGAAAGAAACCGAGGCAGGCTGCAGGCTTTCATTTCTGGTGGGGTCCTGCTGGGGACGCCAGAGCTGTCGCTCCACCAGGCCGGAATGTGCCAAAGCCAATGGTAGGGCAGGTGTGTGTTTTAGATAAACAACTTTCTGCCAATTAGCAGAAGCCCTTAATACTCATGGCAAGTTGCCCAGGTGGCTTTGGATGCTGCAGTGCATGCAGCTGCCCATCCAGTAGCTTTGCCAGACCTTGCATTGCTGGCCGCATGCAAATGCCTTGCTCAATGCAGAATAGTGATAGAAATGTAGCCATGTTAGTCTGGTGTAGCTGAAACAAAATACAGGACTATGGAGCGAGCAGTGGGTCTGGCCCACGAAAGCTCATCATCTAATAAACCATCTTGTTAGTCTTTAAAGTGCTACATTGTCCTGTCTTTTGTTCTTGCTCAATGCAGGCGCTTCCCCGGCATGTCTGGGCTGTTGTTTCTGGTGGTGGTTTTTTAGAATCATAGAAACATAGAACTGGAAGGGACCTTGAGGTCATCAAGTCCACGGCAGGACCCAGGACCGCCTAGGCCATCCCTGATAGATGTCTGTCTAACCTGCTCTTCCATATCTCCCGTAAACTGGCTCTTAGGGGCTTGCTGTGGGCTTAGTGCAAAGTGGTCGCAGGTGCTGGATGGGAGCCAGTAGTTGGGTCTTCGGGAGCAGGAGCAGCAGCTGCTTTGGGGACTCGTTTGAAGGGGTTGGGACTCTTTTCGGAGCGCGCTGCCAGGCAGCCCCCCCCAGAGGTGCCGTAAAGGAAATCGGTTTCTGCCTTAGAAGTTGGGATGAAACGTCACACGCTGCTCCCGGGCTGTGTGGAGATTGAGTTTAACTGGGTGGGTCTCATGGCATCTTCAAACACTCGGGCCAGACTTTGCAAACCTGCTTCCTGCAGCCAGGCTCCTAAAGCCGCTTGAATTGGGGCCTGGTGTCATCGTGCGACCGCGGAGATGGCTGGAGGTGCCTGTTAACTTCAGTCGGATTCGTGGGTGGGACATGCAGGCTGCTTGGATTTCAGAGCCGACCTTGGCAACTGGGTCTGACGCTTGGGGCCTAATCAAAAAGCTGCTGAGCCCCCCCAAAGCCAGTGGGTGGAGGGCAGGATCCA